GCGTGCACCTGTGTGTGTGTGTGTGTGTGTGTCCATGCATGGGTGCACGCATGTGAACCTGAGTGTGTACACCTGTATGTGCCCTTGCACTTATGCATGTATATGAACCTGTGTGTGTATACCTGTGTCTGCGTGTGTTTACATCTGTGTGTGCATGTGTACGCCTGGGTATATCCACGTGCGTGTGGGCATGTCTGGTTATCTGTATGTGTGTGCACCTGTGTGCATACCCCTGTGTGTCCATGCGTTTGTGCACACAGGTGTGTGCACTTGCGCCCGTGTGTGTATATGCTTGGGGGGGTGTCTATTTGTGTGTGTGTGTGCATGTGCCAGGGTTCATGTGTGTGTGCATGTGTGTGTGTGTGGGTATGTACATCTTTGGCTTCATGCATGTGTGAACTTGTGTGCACCGGTGCGTGTGTAAACCTGTATATGTCCGTGCATGTGTGTGCCTGCGTGTGTTCAGGTGTGTTCATGGACAAAAGGGTACACCCACAGGTTCATACATGCACAGGTATACACACAAAGGTTCACATGCATGTACACATGCAAGGACACACAGGTGCACACATGCATCAATGGAAGGGCCCATACACGTGTACACACACACGAATGCACATGCATTCACACATGCATGGACACAGGCACACACACACACATAGGTGCATGTACACAGACACAACCCAGCATGTACACATATGCACACAAACACACCAGCATACACACAGAAACATATGTATGCATAGATGCACAGACACACACAGATGCATACACATAGGTACACACACACAGGCATAGACACACACACATGTCCACATGTGCACCCCTAGCTGGTTAGGAACAGATGGCCTGGCTCACGGGTGCCCCAGCAATAGACTTTCAGCTGCTTGTGCAACTAGAAGGCGGCCGGGGGTGGGGGACCTCCAGCCCCTGAAGAAGTGCCCCGGTCGCATGCCTGGCTCTTGGAGCCTCACTCCCCGCTCCTGAGCCCTGCTCCCTGGTAGAGAGTGGCTGGTGTTGGACTGTTGTGGGGTTTGGGGGCTTTGGATAGTGATAGATGAGAGCTTGGGGGTGGCCTTTGGGGGCACAGGGAGCTTAGTATGGGGTGTCTTGGGGCCTAGCTGGGCAAGCCAAGAGCAGTGATTGCAGACGATGCATACTGATTGCCCCCCAGTCTAGCACTTGGCCAGGAGGAGGGAGCCACTGTGCTGTGCACAATGCAAGAGTGATGTCAATTAGTGGCCCATCCAGGCATTCAATGGCCTGCCCTATTCAAGGGGAAATTATATGGCTAACGAGCCATCTCCTGCTTCCTGGGGCTTGGGATGTTAGAGCCCAATCCAGCCCCCAGCCATGTTTCCCCAGTGGGTTGGGGGAGTGTTGGGGCAGGCTGAGGCCGGAGTCCCTGCTGTTCCACTGACCTGTCCAGGAAAGCCTGGTCCAGCCCCCTGCCCTGTGTGAGAGACATGGTGGGAGCTATAATTGAGCGGAGTGGGCCTGTGGAGTTGTGATAGAAGCAAAATACTGTAGCAGGGCCTTGCTCTGGCATCCCTAATTCACTCGCCTCCAATTCCAGCTGTGGCGGCCTATGAAGAGTGATGTCAACAGGCCACTGGGTTTCCAACCCCAGCTGGATGATGGCACAGGTCAAGCCAACACAGGCACTGCATAGCGGTCAGGCTGCCAACCAGCCCTGTGAGCAGCCTTGCTGCCTCCTGGACACTGCCCCAGTCACACACACAGCCAGGCATAGGAGCAGGAGGACTGGAATTCCTCCCCTTTGTTGCCAGGCATGTGGGAGAGCACCTTGCCCCCACCCTGCACAGCAGGAGCCACACACTGCACCAGTGACGAGCTAAGGGTGCTGTCAGATATGCAGAGCCCTCACGGCTCCCTGGGATAGCAGCTGGCAGGGACATGGGGGAAACGGAGACACTCGATCTCCAGCTGGGCACCCAGATCAGTGATCCTTTGTGAACACTCTGGTATAGATGACATGACCAAGGCCACCCAGCAAGCAATGGCAGAGATGGGTCTTCACCACAAGGTCATGCTGTGGGGAACATGAATACACACATACACTCAAAAGGCTGAGCCTGTTGTCCCTTCAGCAGCAATTGCAGCCTTTTCACCTCACTTGCACTGACAGGCAACTAAGAAGAGCCTTTGCTCAGTTCCTTAACAGAGAAGAGCAGCCTCAAGGGGCCGAGCATGAGGCCTGTGCTGTAGGGCTGCGGTGGGAGGGCAGGCTGGGGCAGGCTCACGGAGATGAATGGCACTGTCACCTGGACATCCATGGATTTCAAAGCCCTGAGCTACCTCTGCTTGGCCAGGATCAGGCTCCAGGGCCCATGTTGCCCCCTGGTAACCCCAGGGTCAGGCGCTGCACCAACCTGTACGCCCAGTCTAGTGGAGTTTTGTAGGGAGCCCTGCAAGGTGGATGACATGGCTTTGGGGTCCAGATCTGGAGTTGAGCATCCATGTCCTACCCCCATCACCAGAGCATCAGGCCTGCGATGCTGCTGCTGCTGCACAACAGGGCTCCCCCACCCCAATCTCCCCTTAAGGAGATGCTCTGCTCTCAGGTCCCAGGTGATTTGCTTCCTCAGTGTTGTCACCCCCAGCAGTCCCACACTTTCTTGCAGCATAGAGAACTGGGAACACACCTGGTAGCATGGGGCAGTGGGGCACGTGGCTGCAGATCCGTCTCTGCTGCTTCGGCTCTCAGTCGTGGCTGCACTGATGCTGCTCCCTGCCCCAGCCACAGCTCCCCAGAGACATACCTACCCCCTGGCTCCAGGGCTCCCTCTTATCCCAGAGCCTTGAGCCAGTCCTTGCTGCCCTTTTCCTCCTGGATAAACATGCTGGTTGCAGGCCAGAGTGGCTCAGCTTGTTTGGGCCCAGGCAGTGTGAGCTGGCACCGCCTGCCTGGGCAGGAACATTGCACAGGCAGTAGGGACAGGCTTGGGGCTGCTGTGTCATCCCTGTACCTGGATCTGCTCAGTCACCCTCCCACACACAGGAGTATTGCCATGCTCACGGAGAATTCTGATGAGTTCAGCCCTGGATGCTGGGCTTCCTCTTTGTGATCAGACGCAGGCACCGTCAGCCTTTCCTGCCTCTACTCAAGTCCACGACAAGGCCATTCCCAACTTTGTATGCTACAGACCTGTGCACAGCACTCCTGAAATGCAGCCAGTTCTGTGAGGATTGGGGGCACAGCAGAGGGACAGAGGTCTTCCATCCCTGCTGCAGGGGTGTGCCATGGAGAGAGCGAGTTGCTCCGAATTGAGGGGGGATTTGTTTGCAAGCTCCCCCATGCTTTCACTGGGCTCATCTACCGCCTCAGAGACTCAAGGGCCCAAGCTGCAAGGAAAGGTGGGTAAAAACAGTAGAACAAGAGGGGCTGTGGGTACTTTTCTGACCCACCCTGGCTCCTAGCACCTTGCCGAGAAGACCCTAGACTGTCCTGGGCAGGTTGCACAGACCTACGGCTGTAACATCTGGCCACAAGATTGCAGAGAAGCCTCCAGCTTGGTCTCTGAATGTCATGTGGCCCTATAGACGCCACTCAGCATCCTCCCACAAAGGAAGTTAGGGCCTGTCCATTATGCTAGCTGCCACCAAGTTCCAAATGAAATCATTTTTCCCCACCTATTCTGCCAGTCACTACCTAGACCTTTAAAAGCAGACCAAGGTGTCAAACCTCAAGAGCACCACACACACCTGAGCTTGCCCAGGAAGCTACTCACTGCTACACATCGTGATGCCTCAGACCGCCACATCCAGGCATAGAGAGAGCCCCAGGGCCCAATGTGGAAGCTGGACGCAACCCCTGATGAGGCTCAGAACTGACCTTGTGGGCCTTTGCACACCTCCATTCCAGCTGCACCGGAGCCATGGGTATATGTGCCTTACAGGGCTTCCCAACTGGAAAGAGATATACATGGCTCATGCAGAACCTCACATATATGGTCCCCTTCACAGGGCTGGGCAGCTACTGTCCACTCAGCAACCAGGGCTTGCATTTTACTGCAGACCTCAACCTTGCTGGCTTCACTGAAAGAGATGATTTTGGCAACCAAGCATTTGCAAACTGGTGCCTTTCACACA